TGCATTGATGGAAATTACAAGCATTGTATTATGCAACGCTGCCTTCGTAACAAAAGTAGTCCAAAATAATTTTATTACATTTATTTACATTTGTGTTTGCATGCCCCCCCCCCCAACCTCGAATCAACAAATCTCCACGACGCTCCTCCGTGGTTTCCCCTTTACTATATAAAAATGTATTGACCAGCAGAGGTATCGGCACTCAACCTAAATTTAAAAGTCAACACGGAGACTGTGCTCTTTGCTCTTATTTATGCTTCTTAAACGTTGAAATTCGGCAAGCCTCGGAATATTTCTCAACATCAAATGTAAGGATAGCGTCCCAGATCAGCCCCCCCCCCCAACACACCCATGATCTATACGATTTTAATGCAATCCCAGCTTCCCAGCTGTGTGGGACATGCGAAACCACCGCTTGACCAACTGAATGTTTTATGGTGAGCTCGAGCATGGAAGTTATTTTTTTTTTTGTGGGCCGAAGAGACACTTTCAAGACAAACCTAAAAGCAAATATAATGTGTTTAAAGGGGAATGTATCCTGTTTATTTCAGGGTTGAGAGTCTCAAGTTAAAGATGACCGACGCCGATAAAGGTGAAGGCCACATAACAAGTGCAGGTCAAGATGGCCTCATCAAGCACTGGGACGTGACGCAGTGAGTTAGTTCTGTAGAAGGGTGTCAATCATACTTGCTGACTTCCGAGTCCGAACTTCCGAGTCCGAACTTCCGAGTCCGAACTTCCGAGTCCGAAATTCCGAGTCCGAAATTCCGAGGCCAAACTTATCTGACACTAATTCGTTGACTTGAGATCCACACTCTTTACTTCACTTACAGACACTTCTCATATCTAGCGCCCAGAGCTTCACCTTACAATACATACTAATTAAGCAAAACTCGATTTTTTTTAAAGATGGCAGTGTAACATCATTTTTTTTTTAAAGTTGAATTTTAGTTCAATAAAAAAATAATAGTAATATTTTTTTTTTATTTATCTATTTTATTTTCATTATTTTTTAATTAATTTTTTAAAAATATTTTATTTATTTGAATTTGCTATCGAAATATATTGTTGAAATTTTTACTGAAAGGAGTATACAGAAGTATTGAGAAAAGCCAAATGCTCCCCCCCCCCCCAGCAAAAATATGTCAACAATAAACCATCTGGCACCCGTCAGAATATCAAGGCTAAATACGCTTTGTAGATTTGAGCCGATTTTTCCAGTGTCCCATGATCTCATAATGTACCCCACCCCTATATAGCGGAAAAAAGTGCCAATCAGTGACGGAACGGACCCAAATTTGTGATTTGAGGGGGGAAGGGGGGGGGAATATGATTTATCAACTTTGAATGCCTGGTGCCCGAATCTTAAAAGTGGCAGGGGGGGGCTACCAAAAGTCAAGAAATGGCCCTGACCCTAACTATACCATTTGGTAGTTGCTTAGTCAGAGTGTGCACTGATGTCAACATCAGTTGAAAATTATGTTTAAACGCTGTCAACACATTATCTATACCTGACATATTAAATAGATATTTTTTTTTGCCTTCAGGGATGACAGCCTGCAGACTTACAAAGGTCATCAGCAACCAATCAACTGCATCTTCGTGGATGACCTACGGATTGCTACCGCCTCCACAGACCACAGCGTCAAACTCTTGAACTTCAATGTGGGAGTGTCCAGCAGACGTGAAACAAAACGGAAGTGATAATAAACATGGGTTCAGGGAGCTGAGTAAAAATACAAAACGAAAAAAAAAAAATGGAACAAGATTTTTATTGTACATATTCAGTGGCGCCGCTGTTGTTACAGCCACCCACTTCCAGGAAAAAACTCTGAAGTTACCCAAAAATACCCGCCAGGGATGTACTACCCCCCACCACTTCACACCCTCACACCCCCTCCTTCTGCCACACTATATTAAAAATAAAATTTGTTCTCGTCAGCCGGGATTCTAAGAAACGTTAAGAAATAATCTCTAAAACAAAGTAAAAGTGATTGTATGTTTTAATTAATATTCCATGACATCGCTGTTGACACTTCGCCAGTGCAACATTAGACTGATATTTGAATGAAAAAAACAAAAAGCTATCTTTTGCCGATTGAACTTTTTTAACACTGGAAAATAAAATATGTTCAGTTATTGAAGAATGGGATTTAATTAATTTTTTTTTTTTATGTAATTATTTTATTATGGCATTTTCGAATACGAATAAGGAAGTGGCGAGAAACGACGACGACAATCCAGGCTCTCCATGATGTACAAGATAAATAATGGGCTGGTCCAGTGTTCCAGTATTAAACAGAAACTCGTCCGTCTCCCCCATAGACAGCGACGAGGCCATGACAGGCAATTCAGGCTCATACCAGCAAGAAGCCAGTATAGGAGCTGCTCATTCCTGCCCAAGACAATCAGGGACTGGAACCATCTTTCAAAAGGAACGGTTGAGGTGACAACACTAGACACATTTGTGTCTATTGCCTCAAGCCTTCAAACCCCTAGTGCATAATTTCCTCATCACCACCAGTAACAGAAACATTGCAAATCCCATCAACATGCATTGGAGCCAAAATGATCAATAAATTGATCGTGGGCCCTTAAGATATAGAAGAAGAAGAGAAGAAGGCAGACCAGAGCCGTACAAGAATTGTAGCGCCTCCGGGATGGATGGATTGGATGGATACACGAATATAAAAATATACATATTACATAACAGAGAGTAAATTTTAATGTCTTAAATAATAATTGTAGGTTAAAACACAAGAGAGCAACTATTCTCAAATTTTTCAGAGTGGCGCAAAGGGCCCTTGCCTAATGGTATCGTTTATTTTTAACTTCTTATCAATTGTTTCTTCTCTTGCGAACCATGGTGACCCGGGTTGTGGGTGGGGAAGTCCATAACTTTGAGAGCCACTGCACTAGAGTAATGATGCCTCGGTGAAAGGACTCTCGCGAATAAAGAAAAAAATGTCTTTATGTGCATTTGTGATTGCAAACTAGAATAACGATAAGGTGTGTGTGTGTGTGTGTGTGTGTGTAAGTCTGCTTCTTAGAGTCAGAAGTAAAGTGTGTAATTCTTGCAAAGTGTAGATGTTTGAAATTAGATATCTCACCTGTGTTCATTCGATCATGTTGAGTTTTTTTTCCTTGCATCTTCTTTCTGGTGTGTATTTTATCAAATCTAACTTTCATTTGTTGACTCTATGCAAGTGATACACAAATAAATATGTATAGGAAAACTTGTACTACCCATTTTTCTATTATTTTTTTTTAAAGAGTAGATTCATGCTAATTATTTGTTGAAGCCATTGATAGATTTAAACAATTTTTTTTTTTAAATGAGAAATTGTGATCTGAATAGTTTTAAATGTTTTGTTTCAATTTTAAATTTATGTTTTTTTTTAGTAATTCAAAGCATGAATCATTATTACTACATCACAGTAATTATGTTTTCTTCTCTCTACCGAGGCACGCTTTCTCCCCAAGACTTGTTTCGCCATAATTTGCCAGTCGATATTTTGTTGCAACCAACATTTTGTTTGTTTATTCTCTCTCTCTCTATATCGGTAGAGCTAATAAAGGGGTTCGAGTTAGAGATGTTTGGCGTAACAACGTGTAATTACGCAAGTAAATACAGATAAACCCAGTGCGGTGCCTTGTTGTTGTTGTTTTTTTTATCTTGGTGGGTTGCTTTTGATAAAGGGGAGGTGACCGTTTGAAACGTCATACAACTTATAATTGGACGGATGTAATAGCATACTCTCTATGCCAACTTCATCCCGCCACTTATAGAAACAAACATACATACCTCCTCTTTAGTCTCAGACATATTACTTTGATGTATTTTTTTAATTTTTTAATATTTTTTTTTGTAAGCAAAGGAGTGAGTCAATTTTATAAAAAAAATACAAGTTCGTTTAACAAGAGTTTACATGAGTGCTTACATGTATTAAAATTATTGATACATAATGTTTAAACGCACGAAGGAACATTTTGTATTTTCTTAAACGTTTTTTTTCTTCCAGTGTCATTTTGTAGATTGTGTAAGTGTATAAAATATATTGGGCCGTTGGTCCCAGGATTGTCAACTTTATTTGTATAAGGAGCCCTTTTTTGTTTATCAATTTAATTTGTTATTATTTTTTTATCTGTATCTGAAGAAAAACATTTTTGGGAGACGCATCGAAATGTTTAGGAAATAGATCCGCGACTATTCCAGGACCAAGTCTAATGCCAGGACCGTCACTGATTCAATCCAAATTTCATCGACCTGTACTGAGAATTTAACTCGCTCTCATGAGAAGGGAGATTTTCTCGAACTTGCCAATTCAATCCAGGTTCAGAAATGGAAGATTAAAATCTGGGCCTGGACAATGTAAAATTTAAAGATCACCCTCTTGGCCAATTCAATCCAGGTTCAGAAATGGAAGATTAAAATCTGGGCCTGGACAATGTAAAATTTAAAGATCACCCTCTTGGCCAATTCAATCCAGGTTCAGAAATGGAAGATTAAAATCTGGGCCTGGACAATGTAAAATTTAAAGATCACCCTTTTGGCCAATTCAATCCAGGTTCAGAAATAGAAGATTAAAATCTGGGCCTGGACAATGTAAAATTTAAAGATCACCCTTTTGGCCAATTCAATCCAGGTTCAGAAATAGAAGATTAAAATCTGGGCCTGGACAATGTAAAATTTAAAGATCACCCTCTCGATAGCTAATACATTTTATCGGTTTGGGACTAATTTTATTTTGCTCAAATAATTTACAAAGCTAAATACCTGCAATTTTAAACTGGACACGGGCAGCTTTGAAGCAATTGTTGCGCAGTGATACATGGATCGTAATGAGTTTACAATTCCCAGAAAGAGAGAGAAAATCTATACCACAAAAAAAGATACAAAGTTTTTTTAAATTCATCTATAATGAATCTTTTTTCAACACTTTTTTTTAAAATCTTCATATTAGATATCCACAATTATGGAGTAATTATTTTATTTTTTTGTTTAAAGAATAGTTCGGGTGTAAATCCTTTGTGGACTATTTAACAACGAGTGACACAATTTGAGATCGCAGTGGCTTTAATCTTTAAAAATCTTTAAAAATAACCTAGCGGGTTAAAACCACAATCTGCATGGTGGACACCAACTGACGCTGTTTACAGCAACGCACAGTGACATGGACGACGACGTCAACAGCACCGCCTTCGCGTGCGGCACCACGCCGTACTCCTTGGACACGGTGGCGACCCTGGGCATGATCGACACGGCGTTCTCCTGCATCATCGTCAACGTCATCGCCCTCGTCGGGACGTTCGGGAACGTCATCAACGTCGTCGTGCTCGCCCACCACGGCTTCAGAGACAGCACCAACGTCCTCCTGCTGTCCATGTCCGCCGTCGACATGCTGTTCCTCATCACCAGCATCCCCAAGAGGCTGGTCTGCGTGCTGTCCAAGTACGACGTCTACCGTTCGCTGATCCTGAACGCTTACGTCACAGCCTACCTCTGGATGCCCAACCGGTACTGCGGCCTCGTCTCGTCGGGTCTCGTGACGTTCGTCTCGCTGGAGCGGTTCGTCGCCGTGCACTTCCCGCTCACGGTCTCCGTGGTGATAACCCCGGGCAGGACGCTGGCGGCCGTGCTGCTGCTCTTCGCGTTTTGGGGCGTGATGTCGGGGCCTTTCTTCGGGCTCTACAACATCGCGTGGCTCCACGACGTGCGCTCAAATTTAGAACTACCCCAGATCATCTTGGCGAACTTTGTCGCAAAGGATTCGGAAAGTTTCAACATCTTGAACCTGAGCCTGGCTGTCATCCGGGGACCTGTCTCGGTGTTAGTCATCGTCATCAACTCAGGAGCGATTTCCAGACGGCTTTACCAGGCGACGAAGAAGATGACCGGAGGTGCGTCTATCTTGAGAAACAATCGTGACGTCAGGGTGGTTAAAATGCTTCTGGTGGTGACCTCGGTTTACGCGGCGATAGGCATCCCGCTGTCGGCGCCGTACATCGCCTACTACATCTACCCGGAGAGCGGGGTCAACCGCGACGGGACCCTGACCGCGACCTCCATCTTGCTGGAGATCGTCAACGACTTCCTGTACGTCATCAACGCGTCGGTGAATTTCGTAATCTACGTCACGATGAGCAAGAAGTTTTGCAACACATACATTTTGGTGTTTTCACGGTTTAGGCTAGGAAATTTTCGGCATAAGAAGAAATGTGGCTACGACTGAGAAACACATGTGATTGGATTTTTTAAAATTATTATTTGTGAATCATACACTTGGCCACCGTTGTTGAGAAGAATAAAAATCGGGCAGTAATGTTAACAAATTAAATTGTAATTTCGGTTGTTGTTGTTGTTTTTTTTTGTTTTTTGTTGTTGTTTTTTATAAGTTGAGGATGTTTATTAAATTGCGCATCATTTTCATGGGAAGAGGTATAGGCCTACACGAAATAACGTGGATGGAGTTTCCTCAGAATATCAATGCTTCAACAATCACTCGCTAAAAACAAAAAGGTCTAGAAATACGTTGTTGATAGTTTTTTTTTCCCAACGTTATTACTTAGGTTAATGATATTGGGGAAAAGGAATGGCCAATTAATAGTTGTTTTTTTGTTTGTTTTTTTGAAGCTACGTGTCCTGTTGTGAAGTTGGCTTCATGTAGCTGTTGGATTTGCTTCATTTCTCAGCGTTAGCTTTAAGGCAGCCAGTCAATCTTTTCTGATAAAGTTCACAAAATGAAATAGAGAACAAAGAATAAGCCTTAGTCTTTTGTGTGCAGCTGTATTTAGGGCAGTTTGGATGCTAACACGTTTGGGGAAATTTTTAAAATTTTATTTTTCAATCGATGACTTGCTCTCTACCCCACCCCACCACCTCACACTCCAGTTTTCTTTTTTTTTTTTCCTTTAATCACAAAACTAATCTGTGCCATAAAAATCCTTAAATATGTTCATCAAAGAAAGACAACTCATCCGTGTATTATTAACCAGTTGATGTGTTTAATTTTCCACATGTGATAAAAACTAGAAAAAAACTTGGAAATTAAGAAACATTAAAAAAGTTTAGGTATAAAATCGTATAAACATGCTTTACTTTCATTACCAAACAGAAACAAACATCAATTACCAAACAGAAACAAACATCAATTACCAAACAGAAACAAACATCAATTACCAAACAGAAACAAACGTAAACAAAGAAAAAAAAATATTTAAAAAATGAAATAAAACTATATACCGAGATAACGTGTGTGGGTGTAGCGTAAAAAAAAATGTACAGCTTGGTGAAACAGGAGGGTGACGTCACGGCGCCCGCAGCCAGCTCGTGTTGGCATCACGTGATCATAGTCATCATGTGTAGCTCGAACGCTAAGCCAATTTACCCTACGCTAATACATGAGCCAAGAATTGCGTCACTTATATTTTGAGAACTTTGCATTGTAATACATTGCTCACAGGGGCCGTAAATTACGCTGATGCCATAGCATTGGATGCTTCTAAAGAAAAGAAACGGGCTCAAACTGGCTATTCTTATATGTCTGTACGGGATGGATCTGATTTTATTTTTAAATCGTTTGAGAAATTTTTTGCTAAAACTCAAATACGTTTTGCAACGAAATGTTCTATTTGAACAGCAACAAAAAATCTGAACTAATTGAAGTAAGAAATACATAAAACATATCCTCCATGTTAACAAATACATAAAACATACCCTCGATGTTAACAAACACATAAAACATACCCTCGATGTTAACAAACACATAAAACATATCCTCCATGTTAACAAATACATAAAACATACCCTCGATGTTAACAAACACATAAAACATATCCTCCATGTTAACAAACACATAAAACATATCCTCCATGTTAACAAATACATAAAACAGCTTCCATGTTAACACATACATAAAACATATCCTCCATGTAGACAAATACATAAATTAATATTAAGAAGCGATATAAAAATAGTAACAAATAGAAGCATTTAAAAAAAGTATTTCCATTCAATGTATTGCATGACCTGCTCAACACAATACGATGGAGCTCTATTTGGCATCCACATTCGTGTTTTGTTTTTTTTTCAACAGAAACATCTTTGATTAATCTCATCTCTTTTAAAATTAGATGTTACTTGTAACGAAAAACGTTCACACCATCAACTTTATAGATAAAACCACTCATGCCTGTCCTAGTCAGTCAGTACCTGTTGTCCATAGTCAGTCAGCAACTGCTGTCCCAGTCAGTCAGTACCGGTTACGAAGAAGTTTAATGGTCTCCTTCACCTATTGTTTAAATTTATTCAGATAGCCGATTGCCATGTGTCATGCTGTCCTTGTCATGCTGTCCTTGTCATGCTGTCCTTGTCACGCTGTCTTTGTCATGCTGACCTTGTCATGAGTGTCCCAGTCACAAACCAAAGCAAACACACTACCTTTCCACAGTTCGAAAGGATGATGGGAAGGAGGTGGGTCAAATAGCCGTTCCGAAGATTTTTGCTTTAATCGCAGAAACACACGAACAAAGGCGATGTTAATAGAAAGTATTTCAGACGGTCAATGTTGTTAAATACTGGAAATAAGAAACATCTACGCTGAATCGAAGAGTTGGGGGCAGTTGTAGATCATGTTTAAGACTCACGTGACACACACACACACACTGCGGCCTCGTCTCGTCGGGTCTCGTGACGTTCGTCTCGCTGGAGCGGTTCGTCGCCGTGCACTTCCCGCTCACGGTCTCCGTGGTGATAACCCCGGGCAGGACGCTGGCGGCCGTGCTGCTGCTCTTCGCGTTTTGGGGCGTGATGTCGGGGCCTTTCTTCGGGCTCTACAACATCGCGTGGCTCCACGACGTGCGCTCAAATTTAGAACTACCCCAGATCATCTTGGCGAACTTTGTCGCAAAGGATTCGGAANTTTTTTTTTGGGGGGGGGGGGGCGGATGTTCGTCTATATTTTTTTAGAAAATGTCATGACGTCAGGGTACATACACTCCAAGAATTAACCTTTTTAACTCTTTTGTCTGAGTATTTGGTAGTTATAAAATAAAAACCACCCATACATTAAAATACTGTCTCCTCTATCACAGCGATTTGAACACAATGTAATCTCTGTGCGGACACAGAACTGACAATGTCACTTCTACAACCAAAAAATATAGGTCTTACAGTATCACAATGAGTGTTTCCCCAGTAATTAAAATAAAAAAAAATATTCTTTATTCAGTTAAGGACATTTGATAAGATATGAAAATGCCCACAGAATTTACACTCAGGGTGAAAAAGTATATATGGAAATGAAGACAACATTTTTTTAAATGAAATTTTTTTTAAAATTATCACAATCGCTCAACCATTGAACTGGAGTGTTTGAGAATACTCCAGAAATTCAAAGATGTACTCTAGTGTAACATCAGGCAGTACAAAAAAAAACAAAAAAACAAAAACATTTCACACAGCATATTATAAGTCGTGGAAAGCAATTACGGGGGGGGGGGGGTGGAAATCAATAATCTCAATATCGATGGCTTGGTCAATACTGATCTGTGTGAAAACCGGTCAAAGAATTGATGAGTCGGGTAACAAGAACAGACAACGAGGAATGCTGAGAGGCTTTTTAAAAAAAATGAAATGAGGTAAATTTACATAAACTTGTTTTATATTACAAACGTGAGAAGTTCTTTAAACACGGTGAGGTGGAACGTGGACTTAATGCTCGGCAACAGTGATTCTCAAACTATTTGTTGTGATGCACATGCTGGAATTTAAACCACCCAGGTGTTTAGTTTATCACTATTATTATTATTATTATTATTCGAAATTGTTACATTTTCCTCCATCTGCCAATTGGCACCCGAGATCTCATGACAGGTGCATGCTCTGGAGACCCCCCATCAGTTTGAGAACCTCTGGTCTACAAATCTAAATCGGCATGTAACTGTAAGCCAGATCATTTAGCTGTAGCTATGAGTGTGTGGGGATAACGATGTGTAAACAGCGCTCTTGTATTATAAAGCAAGGGCGCAAAAAATGTGGGGGGGGGTGGAAAAGTTGCGGTCCGGTCCGCCCCAATGGGGGGGGGCACGTTTTTCTTCGTGTGGAGGGGCGGGGTCTTTTGTCAGCCAACTACAGAGATATTTCAAGGGGGTCGGAGCTGTCCAAAATATTGACCTCCCCCCAACCACCCTAAGCGGCACCGACCCTAGCTACGCCACTGTATTATTGAGATAACCTGTTATCGTCAAAATACAATTCATTATCTTTTTTTCTTTCCTTTTTTTATAATCGAAAACATTACTTTTTGACATAAAAAGTTTAGTCATAAAGTAATTTAACCGTGTTTACTCTCCTTTTCAGACTGTAAAGCTGATAATAATATTGTTTTCACCGGTTGGTCTTCAAGAGTTGAGTTCTGCGACAATGTGAAGTAATACGTGTATAGAGACTTTAATGCTAAAATGAGTAGTGATAGAGTTTCACGTTAAAAAGCACGTGATAAGTTGCCGTGGTGTAGTTATGTACATTCAGTGGTTGTGTCATACAAAACACACGCGCGCCGTGGTTAGAGGCTCTGGGTTCCCACTACCTGTGCGTGTGTATCGGTGAAATCGATGGCAGTGGAGAGTTTAGATCGGATCTGGTGATATTCGACCCGAGCTTCTTCTCGAGAATATCCGTGATCAGCAGGCGGGTCTTGATTTCCGTGTCCGAGTCCTGGATCACGTGACTTCCGGGCGGGGTCAGCTCCCCCATCCTGTGCCTCTTGGCCAGCTTGCGCCTCACTATGACAGACTTCGGGGGCGGCGACACCGACATCTTGGAGGCCGGGTTCGACTCCCCGCTGTACGCGGAGTTGAGCATGTTCTTGCCGTGCAGCGACAGCGACTCTGAGGTCTTGGCCTTCAGCTGCTGCTTCAGTTCGTGCAACGGGTGTATCTCCGACAGCCTGGGCCTGTCCTGGGCGCTACGGAACGGAATGTACTGTTTGGGGACGATTTTACTCACCGCCGGCGCCGGCTGACCGTTGTGTTTGTACATTTCCCCGTTTATGATGTAGACGTGCCCGTTCTCGTAGGACTTGTTGACTGTGTTCAAATCCCCGGCTTTGACGAAACCTCTCCTGGATAAGAGTTTATTATTTTGAATGTAGCGACGGGTTTGAGGGGGGTGGTTCACCACGCTGTTGTTGTTTTCGTCACCCACCTCCTGCTGGTCATCTTTCGATTTGTC